TGAAATGACGTTAACGCCACAACACGGCAAATCTCTGTTAACGAGCTACCGCGGATCGCCCCGTGCGTGGGGCTGGACGGTGTCAACACGTTAACGAGCTAACTGCGCTAACGCAGTAGTTCCCACCAATGTAATTGAACATTGCGTGGCACATCTGACATACTGTTTTACTTTTGTCCATGACGCGCTTACCTTCAGGGTCATACGTCACATGAAAACCAAAATAGTTCCAAACGCCAGATCTGAATTAGGGTGGGGGAGGTTCAATTTGCCATGTTGCAAGGAGAGCTTAATTTCTGTCTTGCTAGCTTGCCCTGCGCTCAGTGAATCTGCGTTCGACTACTCCGCCTAGGCTGCACTGTCGAGCGCAGATCCACTGAGCGCTCAACACAGACAGCATCGTCAGAAGAAAAGTTGATAAAATAAATTTTGTATTGTTGGATACATATGCGTACCGAACCGAAAGCACTGTATCGAACAGTTCAATATCAATACGAGTATTGTTGCACCCCTAATATATATATATATCATAATTTGAATGCATGAAACTATATGCCTGATTCTTGATTAGTTTTGCTTCTGCAGGTGGTAAAACCCCACCAGCACATTTAAGACTAGTGATGGTTGGTGCTCAGTGGTCAGCCAAGAGCTCGGCTGGAAACACCATTCTGAGGAAAAAGGCTTTTGCTGTTCATCACAGAAGAACAACGATGTCCTGTGAAATTAATCACGGCATTCTGGGAGAAAGGACACTCGCAGTGGTGGATTCTCCTGGCTGGTTCTACAACCACACCCTTCAGGACACCTCTGAGACAGATAAACATGAAATAGAGAACAGTGTGTACATGTGCACTCCAGGACCCCACGCAGTGCTCCTCGTGGTAGGCCTGGCATCTGCATTTAATACATCCTATCATAGAGCAGTCCAGGAGCACATGAGGCTGTTTAGGGATGATGTCTGGAAGCACACCATTGTTCTGTTCACTAGAGGTGATTGGCTGGGAGTGAAGACTGTGGAAGAACGTATAGAGAGTGAGGAAGGTCTGCAGTGGCTGATGAAGCAGTGTGGGAACAGGTACCACGTCCTGGACAACATGAAGGATGATGATGAGATGCAGGTACAAGATCTCCTGGAGAAGATTGAAGAGATGTGGGCAGGAAATGAAGACTCACATTATAAAGTTGACCCAGATCGTGAAGCACAGCTGGAGGCCAGAAAAGAGGCTGAAGGAAAATTAGCTAGATGGATCAGAAAGACCACTAAAAGACAATCAAGAATACTGGGAAAGTTATTTGAAGGTAATCAAGAAATCATCAAATAATTATGGCATTATTTTAGTCACTCTTTCAGTTTAAACTTTACTTTTTTACAGGAGAGAGACTGACAATCACTGACCTGAGGATTGTACTGCTTGGCAGAGAGGAATCTGGGAAGAGTATGGCAGGAAACAAAATCTTTTTCAAAACGATATTTGAGAGAAGTTTGTTGAAAAAGGTAGCCCAATATGCTGCCTGAATTGAAATGTGATATAGAAAGGATACAATTTAATTTAATTTATCAGATCTGTAACAATTGTTAAATTAAAAAAAATTGTGCAGGAATTCCAGGACCAGAGAAGAACAGAAAAGTGTGTAAAGCATGAAGGATATTTTGGTGGAATAAATGTTGCAGTCATTGAGACTCCAGGCTGGCCTGCAGACACGACGGCTCCTGTCTGGCTAAAAGAAGAAGTTCTCCGCAGCGTCTCCATGTGCGCTCCAGGCCCTCATGTTTTTCTCTTGGTTGTTCCCATTTCCAAAGCATTCACAGAGGAAGACCACAAAGCACTGGTTGAGCTTTTGATGCCCTTTGGAGAGAGAGTGTGGAGACATTGCATGGTGTTGTTCACCTGGGGAGACTGGCTGAATGACAGACTCATTGAGGAGCACATTGCAGGAGAGGGGAAAAGCCTCCAGTGGCTGGTGGAAAAGTGTGGATACAGATACCATGTCCTCAACTGCCATGGTTTGGGTTATCATTTTCCTGTCAAACTGCTCTTCCAAAAAATAATTGATTTGATCACACGGAACAAGGGACAATGCTTCACTGCTGAAAGCAAACAAGGGAAAAAACAGCCTGTGCTGACAGAAGAAGAGTGGAACAAGAGGGAGCAAGAGCTGATAGACCGAATGTTGACAGCTGTCGTAAATGAACCAGAAGAGCCAACACAACCATTTGTGAAGCAAGAAGCCAGCTTGGATGGAGTTTTCATTCCAAGCAGTGAGTTGATATTAATTAGAGAAAACTCTGAATTTGTTTTGTATTTTTACTTGTGGGTATGATATCAAATAGCATTCAATTTCTGTTTCAGTGAGTGGAGACGCTCCCTCCGAGTTTGGGAACATGTCAGAACTTTGGAATCAAAGGGCACGTGCCAAAGTGTCTGAATGGCTGAAGACCAGAGCTGGAAATTCTGACGTCACCTCTGGGATTGGCAGCATGAGCGCCTCAGCCAGTCATGTGGATGAAAGTCCTCTGCCTGATGAAAATGATTAACCAGCAAGTTCCCACAACGGACAAGATAGTTATTCATTAGAAGAAAAACTCTATAAAAACTCAAATGCAGGAACTTGCTAAGCAAACTAAAAAAACAGGATTGAAACAGAGGTACTAAGAGTAGATCCTGATTTTTTAAAAATGGGTTATTTTTTTTTATGTAATAAGCTATGCAACCTTGAGTTGGTTTTAATATAGTTAGCAGATTCTCGTTGTCACAACGGTTGATGCCACCCTAGCCCAAACCTTAGATTTGCCCCTGGTTCTACATTAAATGGTTCAGCGTTAAGAATTCAATAAAGATTTTATGTTTGACTGTTTTCTGTATTTTGCTTGTGATAAAAAACAACAACTTTGACATGTAGACTGTAAGACATTTCAGAGGATTTTGACACTAAGTTATAGTAATTCAGATTTACTGCATGCTCATTTTCACCTTTATTGTAAGTTATTGTAATAATTTTGCAACCCGTACTTTCACTCTAAGAAAAGTAATTACAGCAAAATGCTGCAGTGTAAAAAACTTAGTTCCATCTGTTAATGCCCTGATTTAATTTCCATATATTTTACTGCATAAAATTATGTTTAAATAATCATTAGAATTACACATTTTGATAAACATATTTTAAAGATGCAACTAATACAATGTATATATAAAAAAAACTACAAATTTACGGTGTCATTGATATGTTAGAAATCGACAAGCCATCAAAGAAATCTTCCGTGTTCCACAGCTCCACTCACAGTTACTTGAATACATGACAAAACATTTGTCCCAGTGTTGATTCAAACTCCATAAGATCCCCGAGACATATATAGCCCAAGTCTCTCAGATACTAGAAACTTGGAGTACAAACACAGCTGATATTAGATCACATTTCATAGAAGTGCACCATAAGAATCACAGCTGATTTTAAAAAATCTGAAATGGTTGCTGAGTTTATTACGATAATTGCATTTCAAGTGTTTCATGATTTGGCTCAAACTTTACTCAGAAAACAGACTTGAAAGGTCGACTGCAGTTTTATATTTTTGAAGCAAGAGTCATCTTACTGGGAAGATGTGAGTAACTTGGGACGGAGGTGGAAAATACCTAAACCATGTTTACTGTAGTGCTGGACCAAAGTAGTTCATTTCTGCTATATTGCACCTGTATCCCACCACAATTAAAGTTCGGTTACTTGTCCTTTTTATATTTTTTGTTCATAATACAAAATCTATTTTAAAAACATAAGTTATTGGGCTTTGGATAGGCTGTTAAATCGCTCAAGCACAACTATTTAAAAAAATAAATTAAAAAGTCTCTTTTACATCCTGCATATGAGCTTTGATTATGTTTTCTATGATAATAAATCAGCTACCACCAAATCAACAATAAAATTGCGAATGATCCTTCCCGGCCTCCGTCGTGTCTCCAACCGGCGCTATCCTTGCCGTCACTTTCTTGACTTCCCATCCCACTCCTGCGTAGCTCTGATCCCGGCTTTCTGCTTCTCTCTCCTCTTCGGTCTTTTCTGGATACCATGTCGGAGTACAACGCGGTACCTCCGCCCGTCCCCGGGGCTCCTCTGCCCGGACAGGCGGCTGTGGGGAACGGAGCGGGGGGCGCCAAGAAGGATGCGTTTGCGGACGCGGTGCAGCGGGCCCGGCAGGTGAGGCAGGGATGAGACAGACAGCTAAGAAGCTAGCATGTATGAAGGCGGACACACCTGAGACCAGGTTCATATTTTACATTCAAACACTTCATGGTGAATGTGTCTACAGTCAGGCACACCTCTACCGCTTCATCCATCACATGTCAGCGTTAGCTTTAACTGTCACTGAGGCCGGACAGTTTCAGCGTCCCACCAAATATCCAGTGTGACAACACTGAAAACCTTCAGAGAACATTATTACCTTCACTTCACTGCCAGCTTCTTCCTCTGCGCTGAGCTACATTATGAATGTTAGTAGTTTATATAAAGGTGTTTCAGGATAATTCAGGTGTGTGCTGCAGCCTCAAGGCCAAAGAACAGAAAACACATCAGTATCCATCACATAGCTCATTAAAATAAATGGTGGATCTGATCCATAAAATAAACTACAGTCTTGCCAGAGGCATTCCCAGGATTTCCGTGGGTGGGGTGGGTTAACCTCAAGGAGGAAGCTCGGGGGGAAATCAGAAAAATGTGTAAAAATCATTAAAAAGCAGTAATACTGTAGATCTGCTGTACTACAGCGAACTATCTGGCAAATCTTCTGCTTGTGTTTCAGATCGCAGCTAAGATCGGGGGCGACGCTGGTCCTCCTGTGAACAACAGCACTGCTCCAGATAGTTTTCCCTTCACTGCGCAGAAACGACAGCTAGAGGACACAAATACTGGTGACTGCACCTTTATTTCGCTCGCTTTGTGATTATTTCAGTTCCAGGGAGTCTCTTATGTACATTAATTTCGTTTCCTCCTCTGACAGATGAGCCAGAGATCAAGAAGCTGGCTGCTCAGAGTGACTTGGAGTCAGCCAAAGCGCTGTGTGAGTTCATTTTACTGTTGGATGCATTGTTATTTGTGACCTACAGTCAACAGTGGGTGTCTGCGTCCTCCACATTAGTCCGTTGGTAATCCTAAACCTCTCCCCTGCCTTGTTTTCTCACTCAGCTATTGGTGCACAGCTAGCTGCTCTTGCACAGCAAAGGTGAGATCTCATACCTCTCAGGTGACTGTGTATTAATCTGACTTTGCTATTGTCTGATTTATTGCTTTTTTTCCCCACCTTTGTATCCCTCCTGTACTCATGGCATCAGACCCACCTCCACCACCGAGGAGTACAGTGTTCCAGACAGTATGGTGGGACTCAGTGAGTGTAGCCCAGCTTTATTTTAACACGTACTGTATACCACACTTTTCTTTTTAAACCCCACCTTCTCTCTTCAGTTATTGGCCGTGGAGGTGAACAGATCAATAAGATTCAGCAAGAGTCGGGTTGCAAGGTTCAGATAGCTCCAGGTACTGGTTGCACTCGTCGTCTACAGATACTCATCCTGGGCGTGAATGTCAGTGTAATTTGGGGTTTTCTTTTTTCAGGGTGAAATGATTGTACAGCATGCATCTTTAATTACTTTATAAAACAAGAATTTAGTATAAAAGTTTGGGTTTATTTTGGATTTTCTCTAATCCACATAGGGTCACTCACTTAATGCTGTTCTTCACTGAAAGGCATTTAGTGAAGATCTAAGAAGGAGAATTGTAGATTTACACAAGGTGGGTGAGTCTCTTGGAGCCATTTCTAAACAACTGCAGATATCACAATTCAAACAAAAAAATATCTGAAGTAAAGTTTTTCAGATATGTCACCACTTTGCCAAGATCTGAAGAAGACCCCAGCGGGCACCCTCAGTTTAAAAGCAACTGGTTAAGATGTTTAGGAACAACCCAGGAACCACCAAGACTCGAGCCTGCCATAAAAGACTGCTGGAACACCAGTGTCACTGTCAACAGTGAAACAAGCTTTACATCATCATGAACTGAGGCTACGTCCACACTAATGCGTTTTCATTTGAAAATGCATCGTTTTCTCTCTGTTTTTGGCCTCCTGTCCACACTGAGACGGCGTGTTCCCCAAGGAAAAACGCAGCGTTTTCAAAACGCTTGCGAAAACGCATACATTTGAAAACAGAGCTGTCCCGTCGTAGTGTGGACACTCAAAAACGCAGACTTTCTAAAACGACGTTTTCAAATCTATCCGGGCTAGTGTGGACGTAGTCTGACAGTGTGCCGACTAAGAAAGAAGTCCCTGCTCCAAAGTGGACACCTTCAGGCTTTACTCAAATTTCCACACATGGACAAGCTGAATGCCTTCTGGAGAAAAGCTTTATGGTCACACTTCCCACAAGAGGCCTCTCCTTTACTACTTTGGAGGAGTAAAGGAACCTAAGAACACTGTATCTAACGCTGTAATGTCAAGCATGGTGGTGGTAGTATCATGCTTTGAGACTGTTTAGCTGCCAGTGGTACTGGTACATTGCACAAAGAAGTTGGAATAATGAGGAAGGAGGACTATCTCCAAATTCTTCAACTTCACCTCAAATCAACAGCTAGATAAGTGAAACTCCAACATAGTTGGGTGTCTCAGGGCCATGATCCTAAACACAAATCAAAACTGGATTTGGAATAGCTAAAAGCAGATCTCAACCCTATTGTATGCTTAATGCTTTAAGATTAAAATCTGAGTCTGTGCTAGAAAACCAACAAGTTTAAATGAACTCTTATAAATTCTGCCAGGAAGCGTGGTCAGATATCCATCCATCCATCCATCCATCTTCATCCGCTTTATCCGGGGCCGGGTCGCGGGGGCAGCAGCCTAAGCAAAGAG